GAATTTTAAAGTATTTGGACTTTGAACTGGAGCAATGGTTTATTTATCAAAATGTTATGAGAATAAAAGGTCAGGTGATCATCCTACACACGTAGCTGCGGAAAGTAAGGGAGTAATAATGTATATCAGAGGTTGAAGAATCATACACTAATTCAGAAAGCAAATGGTGGAAGACGATTCGTGTACACGTATCCACACAAAGGGCAGGAAGCGCGCTGATTGATGTACCGTACCTCTTTTCGAACAATTCCATGCTCAATTATAAGCCCATTCTCAGCTTGTACAAATTGGGACATTTGTATGTTAAAAACTTTACCCATTAACTCTTTGTTCTTTTTATAAACCTACTTTCTACTGGTCGTGGTGGAAGTGAAAAATCGGCTTAAATTTGAGAGGTGGTTTTACTTCACCGAATTAGATAGCTAGTTTATAAATAAATTTTACTATATTCTTGGGCAAAGTTATATAAGTAATATCTCAAATTATAGGACTGCCATCAGACCAAAATATGTAATTCTTATGAGATTTATTAAGGTATTAAAACAAAAATATATTTAATTATGTGAGAGCACTAGGTGGCTTTTATAATGGGATGGTGGGGTTGAATCAGAGACACTGCAAAAAAAAAAAAAAAAAATAAAAAACATAAACAAAAATGATAACATATTCAAATACAAATAAGGTAAGAAAAGAAAAGAAGAATGAGATCGAAACAATAGAGACCCATCCTGAACATTTCAACCGGAACACCTCGCTTAATTATATACGCTTCCCCTGAATGATAGTTGTGAATCTATCCATGAAAACAAAATACACAAAAACATCAACGTTGTGTATTTCTTCGTAGTCATTGTATCTTTTTTTGTTTAAAGTTAGGTGTCACGAAACATTAACTTAAGTTCTTTTTTTCATATGGGTCTCAATTTCAAAGGAGATTTTAAAAACTTAATTCGATATCATTGACTGTAATGCATGGTTCAATAGGTCAACTAATTTATTTAAATTAAGTTCAAAATACCTACAAGCAACCCGAGATTGTTTTTAAAAATGAGAAACAATCATTTGGATAAGTAATTTAAAAAAAAACAAAAACTGTAACACTAACCAGAATGTGACCATGGGCAGATCGGTAACGAGTTCTGAATTTATATTCTGTTTTTAGACACGTGTTGTTACATTCAGACTCAAAATTTCTTGCAGTATCACAAAACGAGTTTGTTGCTTGTTATTTTTGTGGAAGTAAAATTTTGTGATTTCATTCAAAACAGCGATACCTAAAATTGAGGCGATTTATATTCTATGGATTGCCTCTTTAGGGACTTGAAGTTCTCACATTGTTAAGTGTGTATGCTCGTGTTTTCCTTTGGGAGACACCAGAGCAGGATATCTTTACCCTGCATCACACGAGACATTTATCCCAACTCGTGGACTACTTTCACCTTCTGCGGGGAGCATAATGCACGCAAAAGTAACCTACACTCTACAGAGGCGCATTGGGGTAATGTTTTTCACTGGCTACTTGACCAAAGATCACAGTTGTAATGTTAGTACCTCTCCCCTATGCCGTGTGAATAGTTTTCCCCGTTACACTAAGATGAAGTGAATACAATGGAAATAATATGAAAATTTCAAACCAATAAAGTGTTTGACTAGAGCCAACCCACCACCAGAACTTTTTCTTGCCCCTAGTCCTCGCGCCGCCACTGCTTACACGTTCCAGTTCCCATCATCACTTGAACTACATTCTTTCACAATGATTAAGACAAAAATTAATTGCAAAACATTTACGTACAAATCGAGCATTTGTTGATTTACAATGTCCCACAAAATGGCAGATTCGCACTATCATTCTACATACGTGTATGCAATTTCGATCGGACAAGCTACTGTTATATGACTCACAGTACTAATTCAGTTCCCATTGTAAACTTATGCAAACACTATGATATTAAAAATTCAATAACTTAAAAATTTCTGAGCAAACCTATATTTATCAATATAGATAAAACCTGGATGTCAGCTTCTTTGCAGAGGAAAGGATCTGAGCCGCGGAAATTTCTGGACCTGCAAGTGTTTAAAACATTTGCTTTCAGTTCCGCACCAAAGAGTCAGGTGCTAATTTTAATATTGAGTATTCCAAACTCAAGACTGTTAAAGGACAAAAATTTCATGAATAAAATAATGTCAATATTTTGTTTCACTTACAACTGGGATAAGCTCTCAAAAGATTATTTTTCCTAAAACATTACTTACATTTTTAACCAATCCTGGCCAGCTGAACCCATATATACTCTATTAAATGTTCACCATTTTCTAGGCTGGTTCCCATTTTTTTTCATGCCATTAGTACCGTGTGTCCTATAAAAACGTTGTTTTGGCAAATAATCCTTATCATTTCTTATTTAGAATCGGATCAAATATGAATCAAGGACTATTTTGTTATATTTGGTCTGTCGATTAATGTTAATATTATGAAGAGAGAAAGGATTCTCCGCCAATTTATTATGATGCGAAAAGTCTGTATTGTTGTTTAGACGTTTTCCATCATAACCTTCTTCTCGTGCCTAGTTACGAGAAGGAAGAAAGTTCGGCATTCTTAAGAATAAGGTGTCACTTATGATGGTGTAGATACGGTTACATCTTTTTGTGGGGAAGCTTTGGCTACGAGAAGGTACCAAGAATCTGTAAGAAATAGACACGACACTCTCTGATCCTGAAATCGCACTTTATATATATATATATATATATATATATATATATATATATATATATATATATATATATATATATATATATATATATATATATATTCTAAAGATACAACATGTAAATTTATTTATGTTGAAACTACATACAATACATATTACAGTACTTATTAAATAGTTCTTCCACAATCTACTATTTCATTTGTCCATTCATTTTTCTGCATTTTTGAAAACAAGTGATTTAAATATTCAAAGAGCCTAAAATTCAATAACTGTAATAAATATATCTTATTTTATTTAATGTAAGGTAACGACCTGAAAAAGATCTGTGAGTGTTATACATATTATTTAAAGAATATATATTTATTCTCAATTAAATTATAACATGAAGCTAGTAATTATTTCAAACAAATACTTATGAACATCGAAGCTGTAAAATATTTCATTACATTATGATTGTGGAAGAAGAAAACTCAATAATATTACATTATAAATACAATGAACATCCATTCAGTAAAATATTAAATCAGTAAATTATTTCATATTAGAAAAGAGAACAAACTATTACATTATATTGATGAAATAAAAATAATTCAGAAGGATATTACAACTTACTATAAATCTTTAACTTTTAAAAGCGAGTATAAAGCATAATTTTCTTACCTGTAAGAAATAGACACGACACTCTCTGATCCTGAAATCGCACTTAGACCAAAACAGCTCAAAGCCTTTTTTTATATTCTGGAAGCTGCTTAATCATCAGTGTTTTCATCCAAGGACAGAGGGTCTGTCTAATGAATTATGCCTATGTTCTAAAAAATCACGCGTGTCTCTTGCGTGCCAGTCAAGGACAGCTTTAACTGTATATCAAGTTTTAGAGAGAAATCGTGGTCAGTATTTTTCCCTAGTGAATGAATTTCTGAATCATACATTGTCTATAATCTCTCTTAATTGTAAGTGGTCATTCACATTCCGAACTTTTAAACTCAATTAATTCTCTAGACTGATTATCAATTACTTTGTTCCCAGCATCACAACGAAATTAATAAGGTTTTATTGATTGAATTGTGAGATAGTACATTATTCGTGGCTTTTATCTGTTGTAGAACTATCGAACTCGGCTATTAATTAGGTTTTTTCCATTATCAAGTCAAGCTAAGAAAACAATCATAATGTTTAATCTAAATTCATTTCAATGTCCTATTATCTTCAGGATATGAATTATTGATTGGGCCATGCTTCTCTTACAGTCCAAATCAATATCATAGCACTCTCTTAAATTTGCAGGTTTTTGTCTTTCAATAACTTATAAATTTCAATATATTATACACAAGTTACTGTTATCGTTTCTTTCTTTTAAAATTGATATCCTGATATTAATGTACTTTGTGTTTTGACCTGATCTTGTGTCATTGGGCAAGATATTTGCAGTACACTAAATTTTTCAGGCTAAACAGCTTTTCTCGCCCTATCTTAAGGTAAGCAAATTTCAGGATGTTTTAAATTTTCTGTCAGCATCCACAATACGCCATGTTTGCTTTGACCCTCAAATTTTGTTCAGAAATGTGATAAAAATATTCCTTCATCATGCTTCAAAATTAGAAAGAAGAATTTTACCTTTGGGGTCAAAATGCTGACCTTTGGTGGAACTTTCTTATCCTACAACGATACATGTGACGGTTCCGTTGTCCGCAAAATTTAGGTCTCTTTTGTTGACCATACCTAGAATGTTTCTCGGTATCTGTATAATTGCTAATCGACTACTACTTCGGCTGTTTACAAAACAAGGATCGACAGAGAAGTTGGTAATTATCAAGCTATTTTTATCCTATCAATGAATCGAATAGCCAGTGTCATATTACAAGAAGGTCAGGATAGGTTTATTTTCTTTTCAGGTGGAGAAATTTCCGGCGAATAAATCTACCCCCCCCCCGTAAATTACTGCACCGACATACGTCTGAGATAATATTTTGTCTCGCAGAAATAGACGAATTATCCTTGATGTATTGCCAGGGATGTTACTGACGTAAATGATACCGAGAAGTACATGTAAGAACTTGATCAGTAGCTGAGATGGTTTATGAGAACTACAAGTATAACAGATCTTGAATGAATACTTTAAGTATTTCTTTTGTAATGACATAATTATGTGCCGTTTTATCTTTATCGTGATATCCTTATACTGGGACATACCATGAATCAACCCTCACTATTTAATGCACTTTTAGTGATTTTATTTTGTTGTTGTTTTAATTCACCGATCTGGACTTTTATACTTCATGTCTGACCGCTCCGGTGGCCTAGTGGTAGAGCTTCCGCTTCGGATGCGGAGGTCGCGGGTTCGAATTTCTGCTAAGTCATGCTAAAGACTTTCGAAATTCTAAAAGTTAAATAGATTTCTCAGAGAAATAACACTTTTTAATTTTTATCATTTTCTTTTTCCACAAATGTCGCATATGAAGGTTATTTTGGTATTATATGCAACACGCTTTGTCGATTTGATAATGAGTGTGAATTGTGTTCGTTTGTACGAAAGTATGCAGCCAGTTGGTGTGAGTATCCGTGTGTCTGCAAGTGCTTATAATTTTCAGTGCTATATTTTACATTTATTTGTCGCATTTCTCAGCTGGATATGGTTCAGTTTTTTAAAATACATATTCCTTGAAAGAACTGACATTGCAAATGACGATAACAGTGTACATGCTGAAAATAGAAGGGTGTTTTGGGGTATAAATACATGCATGCATGCATGCATACGTACGTACGTACATGCACACACACACATGCACACACGCACGCACGCACACATACATACATACATACATACATACATACATACATACATACATACATACATACATACATACATACATACGTACGTACGTACGTACGTACGTACGTACGTACGTACGTACATACATACATACATACATACATACATACATACATACATACATACATACATACATACATACATACATACATACACATATACATACATACATACATACATACATACATACATACATACATACATACATACATACATACATACATACATACATACATACATACATACGATTAAATCCATTTCAAGACTTCAAGACTAATTATTAATTGCCTGATATTACCCTGTCTTTTGCTTCTTCGCAGAGAAGAAAACAGTTTAGCTATTATTTCCTCTCTTTATTTATCATTGGATGAAAAAGAAGTTATAGGCCGGAAAAATGAGCAAGGAGAATTACATGTCATGTTATCGTGTAAAATCCTTACAGTGCTAATCCGTTCATGTGATTTGGTTCTTTTGTGCAACCAGTATCGTGTTAGAGTTTATCTGCAAATTTACATATTCCAGTTGTAGTGAAAAGTAAGACTTAAATAAATAAAGATGCGTCTTATGCAATTAATGCTTTCATTACTACTTTCATTAATACTTTTCCATCAGACAAGAAGTCTAAACAACAATGATTTTAGCCCTACTATGTTTAAAATTAAATCAAAATCAAGCAACAAAATGCAGTGGAATAAAATGTCAGGAATTCATTTACCAAAGATCTTAAATAAGTCTGTAATGGAGATGCAGAGAAATCAGTTCTGGCAACCGATGTTAAAAAGTAACAAACTGTGTATAGAAATGTCAATTTCCTAATCCCCTTCGAAATATCATTTATTGTGAGCGATCTGTTCAGTGGCAAGCGATCTTTAGTCTACTAAAGCACATATTTAACGGAGATATAAAGTTGGGGCTTGACAATATAATGCGCGATTTTCGCGTATTCGGATGATTCTTTTGCGTGATTTAAAAAAAAGAAATGACGAATCCGGCAGTTGTGCATCCTATAATAAACATTATATAGCAATCAGTGATTAGTGGGGTTAAAGCCTACTTTATTCCTCCCTGAATAACTCTCTCTCTCTCTCTCTCTCTCTCTCTCTCTCTCTCTCTCTCTCTCTCTCTCTCTCTCTCTCTCTCTCTCTCTCTCTCTCTCTCTCTCTCTCTCATTGCTGCATACTTTGCCGAATATATAGCATTTCTCCTTCAATTACTAAAAAGGCAAATTTACGTAAAGACAGTCATTTAATTGTCCTGTAAGTGGTCATGTTGTACAGGTTTCATTGCATATGGTCAAAATATGTTTTGTATCTTTTGAGTTAAAACATTCATGTATTAAACGACAGTATAGGTCTCCATTAATATGTCTGCGTTAACCAATTAGGCAATCTTCAGCGATCTTGACATAGTTTTCATTTATTATACACAATTTATTATTATGTCCACATCCATCAAATTGGAACCAGAGATAAAACTAGCTTTTGTTTTCTCCAAGGTGGCTTTAGTTGTTCCGTATTTGGCATTTAGGATGGCAAGCGTATTATCAGATCGTGAGGTGTCACTGTTCAATGGAATAGCGTTACACAAATTGAGCTTTGACACTTGCTATGTGATAAGAACAAGTCCTATTTTGAAACTGATATTACCTCACTGATAGTTTCAACAAGCACTCTTTCGTGGATTTGTAAGAAACATCCAATGCTGAAAATCATTTCAAATACAGGAGACAAAAGTGTAAGCGTCATCATAGTTCTTCTGGTCATTTTAAATAGGTAACCAGTGTAAAATAAAGGAAATTTCAGACATTAAATGAAAAACAAAAAATAAAAATAAAATGGCAAGTTATTTGTTTGTTGACTTTGAACGAGAATACTACTAGTAATTCATTAAAAATATACAGCTCTTAGGTGCTACCAGTACTTTGTGAGAGCTCAATTTTAAGAATGGCTTTTGATTCCTTGTTCCAGGTGCCAACCTTTCTGAATCTGAATTGAACCTACTACTTCCAAACTGATGCTCACAATTCATGTACAATTTTCTCTTCAACGGTGTTCCAATCACCTGACACCCAGACGTTTGCATCGGACATAGCATAGTCTGTTACTGGATCGGTGTGAATCATTACTTTATTGCAGCTATGTCTGATTCTCCCAACACCTTGTTAATATTTACATTGAAACATATTCTGGTTCAAATATACATAGCTTCTACATTTCTTATCTAGGTTTCAGTAAGTGCATTAAGAGAAAGTTGCATAAAATATCCCAGTAAGTAGGTGGTGTCATGTGACGGGTTGACTAGAGGATGCCAGAGCATCCTATTTATAAGTTTTGGTTTGTCACATACGGGTACGTGTGACCAGTTTTTATTTCTGGAAGTAGAAGAGTACTTCTTTATTTTATTGTCTTTCTTAGCTTCATACGAAAGAGTTCACCTTAACTGAGAATGAAGCTCACGACGGAGAATGGAACATTATGTCAGACCATATTAATGTGTTTAAGGCGGGCGTTGGTCCTCAAACAGTGTCCGTTTTTTATTATTATTATACATTTTGGTCAAGGTTTTAGAGGACGTTCGGACCCATTGACCCATACTCAGATCTTTTACTGTCTACAATTCGTATCTAGGATTGATAAAGAGTCAGCAAAATGGCGTCTCCCATAGATGACTGCATTGCACATTTATATCGTCTGAAATGTTTGAGATCATGAAGAAAATAAAATTCCATAAGACATTAGTACACAAGTGTATACTTTTTTGTGCAATTTTGTATAACCTCAAAGCATACTGCAAATATGCGTGCTGGTTGCAGAGTTGTCTGCTGAGATACACAAGGTTAAGGGCTCAGTCAGAGATACTATCTTCACTGGGTTAACATTTATTCATGCTATATAATATATCCTAAAGTCTCCATATTCTAGGGCTACGACACTAAGTACATTGTTTGGTCAATTGCCAATCTCATTATTTTATCATAACAGAAAACAAACTGGTAATCTCCTTGACTCCATTCATCATAAGCTTGTGTTTGGTACATGTTTTATTGTTTAGATAAACAGTATCCATCCAATTTCGTATTTAGTTAATAAATCAGATGATGCCTTAGCAGATACGTCGAACACTTTGATACGTCGAACACTTTGACGGGGGAGGTCGTTTAAAGACGCAAGCCACCGCATCCAATCAAAATCAAGTTGATTAAATTTGAACATTCTTCATATGTGATCATAAAGATGAGCACACAAATGGATTTGACCGATAAATCATCAGTTTTCCACTGTTTATTCGTATTATTACAAATACATCATTTCCCTCAAATTCACCAGCAATGGCTTTCCCTCTGGTATGTTCTATGCTAAACTTACAAAGTATTATTTAGAAGCAAAATTGCCTCCACTGTTTTCGGCCGACGAAAATGCACCGCTGTTACACGCTATTGGTTGGTCAGCATGACATGGTGCAGGAGACAACTTATGAAATCCAATAGTTGTTAGGATAAAGCATTGAACCACATTATCGATAGCACATCGGAAACTTGCATAATTAAGATCAAACTCGTCAGGGATTCTTTGGTGCGCAGATACATAAGACTATATTGTGTGCCATATGAGAAATTGTACATGATCAAAACTATCAAGTTATCTCTACATGGTACATTCTCCTTCGAGATTAGGACAAACAGGTCATGTGACCTAATTTTGAAGCTCAAGTTGTCAGATACACTTTTGCATATACAGTCATGAATTATGATGTGTCCACAATAAAGTGGGTGATATTATAGAAAGGTAGACAGATGTAGCTTTACGATGATACCAAATAATATGGATGTTCTAGTTGCACTACAAAATACAGAGGGAAAAACGTCACTTTTTGGATCCGAGTTTTTTTTCCAGCCGAAATTCGCCCGAGGGCGTGATCCGGTTTTGTGTCCAGATTTTAGACCTTTTGGATCAGATCTAAGAGACCGGTTTGAATTTCAAAAAGTAGGATAATATGGGTATTTAGAATGAAGAGGACTCTCAACACGAAAATGTTGGGGTCCGTTAAGAAAAAATAAGGCTTTTTTACCCTTCTGCTCATGCTCAAGCGAAAGAGCCAATACAAATCGATGTTTCTAACACAAAAAAGGCATTAGGTTAACCAAAAATGTCTTGGAGGTCGATGTTTTAGGATATATTCAGAAATATCTCCCAAAATGGATTTCCTACTCGCATTTCAAGTGAATACGACAAAAACCTCCAGGGTTAATGGGTTAAATCAATTTCCCCCTTGTTTCCTCTTAGTACATTTAAAATGTACCAATGTGATTCTTGTTTATAGCGTATGTCTGGCTGGGGAAAACAGTCGGTTTACTCAACTTTATCCTCAACCCTTTATCAGAGATCTTGACCACATTAATTTACATTTTATTTGAAATGTAGCGAATAAAATTTAGAGATTGGACTGTGTTATGATACGCAGCTAAACAAATCAGTTTAATGATCAAATAGACTGTCAATGGAAGGAGCAATGATGAGTAAATCATCT